CAGCCGCCGGCCCGCACAGTATCTGGGTCTCGCTGTGCAGGGCGGGCGTTCGCATCCCTGCGGGTGTTTTACTTGCTGCTTGTGAGAGGATTTTTGTGCTCTTTTCCCCTTTCAAATCAGTTCATTGCAAGTGACTGAACCTCCTCCAGCTTACAAGCCTTTAACTAAACAGGATTTACTTTTCCCTGGCCGAGGCCAACGCAGTGCTGCATGCCGGAGGCCGTTGCACCAGGCAGCCCGTCACCCCAGCGCTGCCTGGCGCGAGGAAAGGGCTTGGGGCCATCCTGTGTGGAGCCCCTTGTCGCTCGCCCTCACCTCCTGCTGCTGGTTGTCGGGCCCCTCGCTTCAGCGTCGTGAGGGGTCTCGGTGGCAGCATCCCCCACAATGTACGGTGAAGGCAAGAGGCAAGAGCATCCTGTGGCCGCATGCTGGGAGAGGGAAGAGACAACCTAGCAGCATCAGGGACCATTGTGCAAGATGGTGGCAGGATGGCATTCTTCCCCGGTGAACAGCTGAGGACACCAGCTCTGGTGTGGGCACGGGGGGATTTTGGTGCGAGCCGCAGGCAGGTGTGTTCCCCGGGAGGTGGGATGCTCTCAGGGGACACGCGGCTGGCTGGACAGCCGGCACGGATCACCGCGTGGTCACCCCTCCGTATTGGGGGGTATGGATTTGCTGCTGGCAAGGCTTCATTTTTAAAACGCATTAGCACCTCGAGGTCACTTACAATAGAGGCTTTAATTAAAGTAGAGATCAATTTTTGTCAGCGTGCTAGCAGAGCACACTCTGTACTTTTCCTTCAGGAGCCACGTTCGCTCGCTCGTACAGAAAGCTCAGACAGGGAGGGGGGAGCTCTGCGGAAAAAACGGAAGCGCCAGAGTCGGTTGGCGATGCCGGGACCAACAGCTGCTGGAACACCAGCTGTATCCATGCTCGCTACCCTGCGCGCCGGCGCACGCAGACAGCCCGCGGTGCAGGCAGGGCAACGCAACGGGTTTCGGTACGCAAGGGTCTCCCCTGGGAGCCTGCCTAAACAAGGAATTTAATTCGCAGACACCTTTGGTAAGCAGCGCGTTAGATGGGTGGTTTGTGTCCGCGAGGCTGTGCGCGGCGTGGCTGGGACCTGGTGGCTTTGCTCGGCTCTTGGTCCTGAGAGTCAAGGGTCCTCAGCTGTGACAGACTAATGCAAAATGCATTAGTGTTAATGGCAAGATCTCAGGACTCATTGCTTCCCAGGGTCTGAAAGAAAAAGCAACCTGCACACCGTTAATGGACACCAACTCGTAGCGCCGTGCCTCCCCTCCACGCGTAGCTGCTCACAGAAGTTGTGCAAATCCGGATTCAGAGAGTGCAGCCGGCAGCAGTGCTCAAAATACCTCTGAGCCTGCAGACAGGCTTCGCCCAATGCATTTTTTTTTTAATTTTTTTGGCTTTTTTTATTGGGAAGAAGCAGCAGCAAAAGAGAGGGGACTTGGCAGGGGCTGGCACCACAGAGTGTGGGGTGGCAGCGGAGCGGTGGCCGTCTCCTCCATCGACACGCAGGGTTCTGCTCTGCTCTTCCTCACCAGACCGCAGAGCAGGGGCTGCGTAAGAAACTGGAAAGCAGGCGGAGCTGTAAAAAAATCTGAGGGTTTTATCTATCGGAAAACAAGCAATAAAGCTGCATAAACCTGTGTAGTCAGGTGATGAAAAAGTGCTGCATCTTACTGGGGAGCAGGGGAAATATTTGCTGCAAGGACGGGGAAGGGGCTGATTGCGGAGTCCATGTTCCTCCTCTGGCTGGAGCACAGCACTGCAGCTCTCGCTTGCCGAGCACGTCCCGCTGTCTTCTGCGCTTGTCCTCAGCTAACCCCGCCGGCAACGCTCATCTGAGCATCATTTGCCACTGGGACATGCTCTGCCAGCGTCCTGCAGCAGGCACGCAGCTGACGTCCGGTCTCGTCACCATCCCCATGGCCCAAGAATCACAGAATGGTCGGGGTTGGAAGGGACCTCTGTGGGTCATCTAGTCC